CCATAGAAAATATAGTACCAAGCTTATCAAAACGTTTAAAGACTAAAAACTAGTGAATAAGTGAGGAGAAGAGAAAGGTTACCGTACTGTAGCCTCCAAATGAAGTGGCACCACATTCAGAGCCGGCCGCTGGCTGCCCCCTGTCGGGCATCGCACACATTACGTAGAACATCGAGCAGCGTATGCGTCGCTTTCCGTACATTGCACTCTGTGGTGCCACTTCAGCTGTTACGGTACTGTATATCATACGATTCGTGCAGCATAGTTGCGGCGAGCAGTCATTTGCCTACAGTTCTACGAATCTGGATCCGCTCGGATATACGGCCATCGTTGAGGCTCTGATCATGACTCTGACCCTGAGCGCTGAATCAATGATTCCAAATGCTAAGACTGATACTGAGTACAGCATAAAAGCGTTAAAGCGTAGACTCACAGTTTCAGCACTCTAACTCCTTCGACATTACTCCAGTATCTATGATAGTATAACGAGTTAGTTAATATAACGTTATAATAGTGTACTGTCCCTTCTCATGTTAACTGGGACAAATTCTTCATTTGATTGTTATTACTGAGCGAAGCTCGCTATGTACATATTGAGAGATTAAATTTACATAGTATTTACTTCTACTCATACTAGCACGCTGCACGGATAATAATTATTGAAGACGGGTATTATCACAAATTCATAACTTAACGGTTTGCGTAGGCAAGTCCGTCAGTAAGAGAATTAACATAAACATTTGGCGGTAATAGTATTAGAAACACCAGAGAAGGCAGTAACGATAGAAGCTGTTACACCAAATCTCGTCTATATTTAACCCTAGAAGGGAAGGTTTACCGTTACGTTAATTGCATTTCCCGTGTTTATTTGCATAGAAAACCACTGCCAAAAAAACGATTTGTTCACCCCAGACACAGTCATGCAAATTCGATGCTGCCAACGATAACGCTACGCTGGTGAAAGGCGAAGCTGTCTAACAGATTGTCCAAACATGCGGCTGGTAACGCGCGAATCCAGTATCCAAATTCTGGCACCGATACACTTTCAGGCACGAAAAATACCAAAATTGAGAACCCCTACCCCGATTTTTTTAATCGGAGAGTCCACCTTTATAATCCCGGAAGTGCAATGGAGCCACTCCGATGGGGATGAGTAAGTTATGGACTGCGCCGTTTCGGGGCCAGATAAGGTCCACTTTCACTGCAAATGTGCGAAGAGCAGCCACCTTGAGAATACGGTAAGCCAAGTCGGCTTTCTGAACGTGGCGAACGAACGTTTTTCTCGGGGATTTCCGCTTAACCGGCAACGGACTTCCAGGCGTATGTTGCATCTGCATTTCTGTTGGTGGGAGTCTCGTAACCAAAGCCGTTCCAGTAGTGGTGCAATGGAAAACCAAAATGTACTACAGATATTACGGTACGATTATTATCGCTGTATACAAGTCAAAGTTCTTTCTTAAAGTAGTGTAGCATGTACCTTCTTGCGCACAGCTCGGTTAACCATTGTACACGTATTTTTATCAGCGCACCAATGGCTACGTTTAGCGAGACATATAACATACCTATCCAGAAGTTTATTTTAAGCGGTGTGATGGTCTTCCTTAATTCGCTAAAACGTTGTTTTTACGTCTTTAAGCCGGTAGAAGGCAAAACGATAATGTGACAGGAAGCTAGGTTGCGGAAAGATCGAGAAGTTTTAGAAAGAAGTTGACACTATACTACAAAGTTTTACTGCACCCGTAATGCGGCTGCCACGTCCTTGTCTTCACATTTCATTTTGTTGAATTCAATTAGAGTTGAGCTGAGCGAAGCAGTACAGGCTCCATATGAGGTCAGTAACCCCTAAGCCCAAGCGTACGCATTTTTGCGTAGCCGATGTCACTGCCACTTTTAGGACAAAAAACGGATGTACTGCTGTGATTACTTAGTCGAATGAATTATTATTTTAATAGAATAATATTAATTACTTTTTATTAGTGATGCAATGCAGCTGATCCCTGTTGTTCCCTTGGCGAACCTTGCGAACGCTGCGAATGCGGGAAAACGAGGTGGGATATACATGTAATTAGTGCCAACATTATATATCTGTTTTGCAGTCGGCTTGACACGTTATAATAATATGTAAAGATGCCCATAGCAAACCAAGCACTGTTGGTTACGTACGAACTTGAGTGTTTGGTGGTTGCTCATGATTAAATTTAATGTTAATTTATACCGTTCATTTTCTTTTTGGTCGTACAAATGAGCTTTATTACTAATTGTTACTTACCAATAATTCATTCATACGACCACCGCGCGCTAGTATACGTCTACTAATCGCAGTACACAGTCATACAATGGGGCTTGGGTTACGCTTATTAGAATACAGCTGTTTAATTTAGTTGTATGTTTTTCTGGTTTTCCTGGTTCCAGTTGTCAGAGACCGCTCACTCGAGGCGGTAGACACCTCTCGTGGCTTTCTCTGTCGCCCGCCCGCACACGGCAACGCCGTTCGTGCCGCGCTATTACGCTGATTACTCAGCGCTCACTTTGTCTCGCTGACCAATCAGCGCATCGCTTCAGCACTCTTGGGGGCGTAGCCCAGCGCCTACGAGCGATTCCATGCTTTACGGCATCAGCTGTTGCATACCTGCAGCACGCTGCATCATTATCACGATTCTGACTTGCGCGCTTGCAGCTACTTTTTCACAGCATACGCCGCATTGGCATTTCTGTGTTTGTTTGTAGTTGCTTTATTATTTCACAATAAAGGCATATTTTGCCCCCATTTTCGCTCTGCTTCCGTGTCATATCTGACATGGTAGCATTATCGTTCGGTTTTCTTTCCTGGAACCTCTGATCCCCAGTGAAGGCATAATCGGTCGAACTACGCTGATTGCCTAAAAGTAGGCCAGCCATCCCGCGACCATCTCCTGCATCATACGAATCTCACTGGAGATCCGCAGCGCGAAGGATTAATCATACGGGTCGGCGCCTATAAGTAGGTCCCCCGCAGCTTTGGCTCCCCGCTCAAAAACTGAGTTGGGTACGTCGCTGTTGACCAAATAAGCACCCTACCGGGTTGCGTTGATACGGGTCAGCGTCTATAAGTAGACCTCCCGCAGCTTTGGCTCCCGGCGCAAAAACTGCGTTCGGTACGGTCCTGTCACACCATTACGCCTTATCGGGTGCGCTGCGGCCCTCACGGTAGAAGAGGGTGAAGAGGAACGACGGAGCAGCAGTTTGGCACGAACAACCGCCGGCAAGACCTGCTGTGGCGTCGTAGGTTTTCGTAGAACTTCCGAAAAATTCGAGGTTTCCGCGTTGAACCATATTTAAAAAATTCATAACTTTTGAACCTTACATCCGATCAGCCTGAAAATAGCTTTTTCGGAAAGATCGTAAAAAGTAGCTAGAATCGAGTACTTTTATTTTCTTAAATTCATTTCCTGATTTTTTACGAATTTTCGGCGAAAAACAACCGCAATTTTGTCCAGCCGGAATTTTCGCGAAAAAGTCGCGTGACGTCAGCGTGGTTATTTTCCATAAAATTTCTGACCAATTAGAACGCGTGGGAAACTTCCCCGCGTTATAACAGTCGTAGTGATTCATACTTTTTTGCATTTTTTGCTCACGGCACGCTACTCGTGACGTAGAGCTTATTGCAAGACCATTTCGTACGTAACGTCACACTGGTCAGTAACGTAACATAGGGCCATAGGAAGCTAACGCTAAACCTGAGCTCCAGCGTACCTGCCCAGCACCAACCCGCGACAGCCAACTCAACGTTCTGGTCCGGACCAAGATCAAAGAAACCTTCTAAGTCCCACTACCATGGGCCAAACCGAAAGCGCCTTGGCCAAGGTGATGCCTTACACCAGCCATGAGCAACTCCAACGGAGATTGCTCAGTCCAATGGACAGGCGCCAACCCAATGAATATAAAAAGCAGCTGGGGAAGAGCTACGCCACGCGTGAACCATCAGGACCTTACGGTTTCCGTAACGCCAAACCGAGCAGGTCTGACCCAGACGAGCCAAACTCGGCCGGCTCTACGAGTTCGGTCGAGGCCAGAGCCAGGCGGGACAAATAAATCCTGCCGGCTGACCTGGAGACCAGCGATGAAAGTCTGGACGCCACCCGGGACGACACATTCCAGGAAGCGTCCGACGGATTGTCCGAGGCCAACCAGCCTCTGGACAGCCAACCTGGCGCCGATAGGACGGCCCAGGCCAACAGTGTCCTCGGGACTTGGCACAACAACCGGCCATACCTGGTCCGGGCCAAGTCCAACTTGAGGCGCCAACGGCGGCCACAAGTGAGGACAAGACACGCACCGATGGACCAGAGCCAAACAACTTGGCCCGGTCCAACCTTGATGTCCAGGATCTGACAGCACGTCCAACCCTACCGGGCTCGGACCAGATCCAACCTGAGGCACCAACGGTGGCCAAAGGTGGACGCAAGGCAAAGGGCCAAGCCAAAAAGGCTGGTCCAAAGGCACATGACCAGGGCCAACAGCTTGTGAGTCAGTCGCCCATCATGTTTGAAGTCGATGGCTCAACCAATACAACGCCATCGCCAACCGATGACGTCATCGGCGCGTCTGGCCCGTCCAAACCGGACGGAGAGCCAATTGTGGACCTGGCCCAACTTAGCAGGGCCACAGCCAGGATGGACCTAAACCAACCTTCCTGGGACACAATCCGCGCCAGCGTCACCCCGCCAAAGCTGATCCAGGCAACACGGCCCGAAGAGATCGACGAAGTCGACCAACTCAGGACCACAGTACGGGACCTGACTATGCAGCTGGCGGACATCGCAGAAGCTGCCCTGCTATCCGAACGTTGGATGCAGGACGAGATCTGCAGACACAAAGACCTTGCGTTCCAATCGGACGCAGAGGCTTAACGTGTCTCGGCCATACTGGCCCAGACCCAACTTGAGCTAACCTAGCTCAAGTTGTCACCTTGTCCTAATGTTGAGCGAGACCAGCTCAACAGGACAATCCACAGCCTGGAAATGGCTGTGGCAGGCCTCGAAGCCCTGCTCACCTCTACGAGGACTGAGCTGGCCAAAGCCAAGGATGACTTGGCTACGGCCCGGACCACCATTGATGACACCGACTGTGAGGCGGACCGCCTACAGAGGGAAAACGAGCGTCTTACTGAAGACTTGGCCAACCTGCAGGACGAAATCAACCGCCTGCGGAACGGCTACAACCTCCTTTATGAGAGCCATCAGAATCTCATGAAGGCCATCCAACAAGGAGGACTGTCGAGCCAAGCGGTTCAACAGAAGGAGGCACAGAACGTGCAACTCCAGCAACAGATTGTTGCCCTCCAGAGCCAGCTCAATACCGAAGCAACTATTCGGGCACAACTTGAGCAAAACAGCGCCATTGGACACAAAAACTTCGTCCAATTGGAGCAGGCCTTCAACCAAGCCAAACAGGTGATCCAGGGCCAACAAGACCGGATCATCGTTTTGGAGGCCAATAATGCCGGCCTGGTCAAAGACTACCAGGCGGCCACACAACGTATAACCGAAATGAACGAGGAACTGGAAAGGCTAAGCACGGAAAACGCCTGCTTAGATGCGGAGAAATCACATCTCGCAGACATAAACTCCGAGTTGTCCGCAGAACCACCGTCCTACCATACCTTTCCAGACTCGGGCACACAACGTCGACAAGAAAAAGTCGACGAGGCTTTGCGGCAGGGCCAACGCTTTTACCGCGAGCCAGTGTATCACCAACAGAATTACCACGTGAATATGGCTGTGGAAGGGCCATCGGTTGGAGATCCTCCAAAGGGGCAAACCATACCCGCGCCTCCCAGCCCGGTGGACCGCGGAACATCAACGGCGACAGTAACACTGCCGCCACCACCAGTCCCGGTCACCACAACTGCCACTATCGGTCCAACGATGATAGTGACGCCTGCAACGCAGACTCATCCGTCTACGTTAAGCGGGCTAGGCTTTGACCCGAGCCAGGCAACACCCAGCCACAGCTACTCCGGATCAAGGCCACCATACCCGTCCTTGTATCCGTCAATATTCCCGAACATGGACTTCAACTTTAGTCCACAACCGGCCGCAAGCCAGACTCACATTAGCAGCATGGATCCAAACCGGACCAGCCAGCCGAGCCTAATGTTCGGGCCACCAAACACGCAAGGACAGATAGGAGGCCAAAGTGGTACACCAACGGTGCAACCACCACTAGTAGGCCAACTAAGCCTATTTGGCCCTCCTATCACGGCGGCAGCCCCAACGGGCCAAGCTCAGCCACAGATGGGCCAAACCACGCCCACGGGCCAAAACGTGCCCAACCCAGCAGGCGCACCGCCAACAGCGGGTATGCCACCAGGACCAGCGGCTCAACCAGGCCAGGGCCAGAACACGCCCATGCTGATCCAGCTCCCGAATGGAGCATACGCATGGATGGCATCCAACGGGGCCACCCAGATCGTACCGGGCCAACCAATGTGGGCTCAACCTCAGCAGGTGCCGCTGATACCGCTACAACAGCCGACACCTGTCCCGTCACCACCGGTCAGTCCAGCTCTCAAAACCAGAGAGCAAATAAAGGAAATGGCCCAAGAGATGGGAAAAGCCACCGCGAGAGCTCAAGTCCGCACCGAGTTGCCAAAATTTGACGGCAACAAAACAATGGTGAAAGGATGGCTTGCACAGGTCCGACGGATCTGTAAGCAGTCGTCCGATCTGAACAAACCAGATCCGGACTTTATGAGCCGCATTTACATGGCCCTATCGGACCCTGTAAAAGAACGGTACGCTGGCCAAGCCAACCGTGAAGACGAGGACGGCTGGACAGTGGAAGAGTGGCTCCAAAAATTTGCCACTCGATACGGCGACGACAATCAGCAGACCACTGCCATGAGAGAAACCACCCATTGGTACTATCAACACTTGACCGAAACCCCTGAGCAGTATTATGACGACATGCTGACTCTCCAGACGCGCGCAGGCCTGGATGACACAATGACTCTTCACTTCTTGCGAGAGAATGTGAAAGAGCCGGAACTGCGCCGCGCTCTGGATATCCGGATACCAAAGTCACCGGCAGAATTCCGGGACTATGTCCGGCAGTACTCAATGGGAAAGCCGGAGTACGAAGGGAAGGCAGGCCGCGGATACCCAACAATCCGAACGGCCATACAAACGCCACCAGCCCAAGTCGTACCACAACAACCGGCACTTTATCCCCCGCAGGCTACACAAGCCCAAATTGAGGCATCATACGCCGCCATCGCGGCCTTGAACTTAGCCTCCCCACAACGTGGGTCTACACCGCCCAACGGCGGTAGTGGCGGCTATGGCCAGGTCCAAAACCAGGGCAACTTTGGCTACAGCCAGGGCAACAGCGGCGGAGGACCAAAGGGCAAGTTCTCCAAGGGCCGAAACGCCAGCTTTAACGGAAACCAAAGCGGCAACAGCCCTGGAGGACAAAACCGAAGCCCAGGAGGCCAGAGTGGCCAACGCCAGACTCTGAGCCCCAAAGAGGCCCGCAGACAAGAGGACATGTACATCGACCGAGTCGAGCGGATGTTCGAGCGATGGGCCAAAGATGGGATTATCACTTGTAACCACTGCCTGTGGGGAAACCACGCAACTGACGGCTGTGGCTACGCGAACAGGCCATATGGCGAAAATCCAAACCGAAAATGGTATTTGGATTGGCGGAATCGCTATCAAAAAGGCTACCCTACCGGGTTAGCCAATCCTAACCGCCTCGGCTTAGTGCCACCCAAACAACCAAGACCACCACGTGGTAATGGGGGGATAGGCAGCCGACGGCAGCCCACTGGCTCAGGAATTGGGTCTGGTGGCGGCAACTGGCAGAATGGTCCAAAACAGGGATACCAGACGCCAGCCAACGAAAGGGCAGCGCTACCACCCATACCGGAACAGCTGGTAAAGCCAAATGGCAACGGCGGCGGCGGCCCTAGCCGGGCCAGCCCAACCGCGGGAAACGCCTAAGGTCGGGGAGTATCGGCAACTCACCTGACCTAAGACCGGAACCTAAACCGCCGGACATAACGCATGTACAGTTACTAGCCCCAATGGATCCCAAACTAACCCAAACGGCTCAACAGCCTACTAGCGGATCCAGGTTTAGCGCCAAACCAGCGTCTAAGCCACCGGGCTCTAAAAATGATGCCAGGCCGACAGTCGCACTGCAGGCGACCAAGTCGATTTTCGGAGCCTCAACAAACCCTAAGGCCAACCGATCCCCAAAACTCGGAGCCTCAACCAACCCAAAGGCCAACCGAACACGTGTCAAAGCGAGACGTCGCACCACGAACATGACGTATCCACAATCGGCGTCAGACACATCCTCCGACAGCGCACCGGAAGGATGGTCCGTACAAGATACGGACAGCGAGGTCGGATCCCTAAAAGATTGGACAACCGAACCTCTTGAGGCGTCAAGTCCCCGTACCTGCTGGCCCCAGATCGGTGGACAACCCCTCGGCACCACACCAACGGTGCGAACCATAAACAGCTCACGGACCTTCCTAAACACCAAAAGTATGTTTTCGACCCTACGGGTAGCGGAAACATCACCACAGGAAGAGTCCGTCCAGCAGAAGCCTTTATCACCCCAGTACGCTCCTGACGATCCAGGACCAGTGTCGCTAATCCCCATTGTACCGGTGATGCGGGAAGTGACAGTTGGTCTCGACGAAAATCGTAAACCAAAAACCGTCAGAGCATGGACGCACAAAGTCCAAATTGGACCAGTCCACACGCTCGCTATGCTGGACACCGGAGCGGAGACATCCCTCATTAGCCAGTAATTCTGCACCGCCAATGGCATCAAAACAGAGCCATTAGGACGGAACACCAAAATCCTTGGTGTTGGCGGACAAACCGCCTTTGTGGTCTCCAACTGCTGCACCGTACCGGTGACACTGCAGGGATACAAGAGCCACCACACGTTCTTCGTCCAACCGACGTTAGCGGACGTGCACATACTACTTTGATGTGACTATCTCCACTCCAACTTCACCTTCATCTTGAAGCCAAACGAAGAAATCGTTTGGGACGCGGTAAAGTCTATCCCGATACCAGAGGCACCGGGACCCGACAATGAGGTGCGGATAAATCGGCTACGCGAACCGACTGTCCAAACTTCTACCTGCTGGGAATGCCTGGACACTATCGAAAGCCTCATATGGGAGCTGCGCGTCCATAACGCAATCGAGCGATATATGACTCAATTCCGTGCAGGCATACTCAAGCCAAATCACGGGATAGTAATGACTATCCCGATACCAGAGGCACCGTACCAACGGCCGGTGCCTGACAGAGATATTAAGGAGAAACTAGTCCAGCGCTACAAAACTTGGTTCACAGAAGTAAGAAATTTCCTGGAATACCGCGCTAACCAACTCCTTGCCCTAGAAGAGGGCTGGCTTGAAGAAAAAGGCGCACCACTAACGTGGCCGCAGATTGCCGAACAATATGGACCGTTCGCCCAAGAACTGGACGACTTGGTCCAAGAAGGAGCATTATGGGAGGACGAACGTCTAGCCCTCGTGTGGGAATACAGAGAGTACCACATGGAAATGCCAAAAGCACTCCAAAAGATGTGCACGGATCTCTTTGACGACATCATAACGCTTCGAAGACAAGTGGCCCAACACTCTGGTTTAACCGTCAGCATATGGCCAAAGTACGACTTAAGCCTGACTAACGTCAGGACCATACCGGAACCATTGCCGGAAGCTGCACCGCATATAGCGACAAAAGTGCGCTTCAATGATGGCCCACACCCAGAACAGGGAGGCCATCGAAGGGACACCAGCCAGAACGAGCAGGACCTTTCGTCGGAGGAAGTCCAACTGACTTGTCCTCTATGTGGAGACGGCGTTGAAGCGGTAATACGGGCCATACAGACCCGTTCGGCTCAACGGTGGGCAGGAGGCCGACCAGCCTCGCCACTCCCTAACGGGAACCATCCAACCACTATGGCGGAACCGGACGAACCTGAAAAACAGGAAATCGCAACCGGAACGCCAGAGATCCAAGAAATGGATCTCATGCCTGAGCCGGCACCAACAGTGGCCGGCGGCGCGCCAACCTTTAACGAGGACAAAGGCAAGCCAAAAACTGAGCAAAACGACAAACCCGAGTCTACCGACTCGGACGTCCAAAGCTCAAGTGACTCACCGGACACGGACTTCGATAACCAATCATCGGAGGAGTCAAGTGATGACAAAGAGGACACAGAAATTCTCCAACTCCGAGCCGAGGCACCGGTAATCCGCAAACTGCGGACTGAACGTCCAATGGGCTGCCTCAGGGAAGAGAGAGAAGTCGTCTTTGTTCATCAACGGTACACCTTTCCAGCCTACTCAACTTGCTGGATTAAGGTCCGGTCCTATCGGACTATGGACCCGGGACGGCCAATCCACTTTAAATCGCTGAGACGACCACACCGCTTGGTCATACCGATCGAAGCGGAGGTCCAAACCAGAAACAGCGAACACGCGTGGATTCAGGTCCAAAACAAGTCCCGACGCGACCAAATCCTCCACAAAGGTGCAAAAGTTGGCCATATGTACTACAGCGACATTTATGGGCCAGACATCAAGGAGGATGGCGTAGATTGGTCCATTTCCAATGCCGACGGCTTACCATGGCCAAAAGCGGCAGGGAATAATCCAAACCGGTACCGCACTATTAATGATCATGCTATGGTCCGGGCAACTATAAAAGTGAAACTCCCACCGGAGTCCATCACCCCGGTCCAAGTTAGCATTGACTTTCCTGTCGACCATAGACAGAAACTTCTGTACCTCGAAAGGCCAAACCGGATTTCGAGACACCGGCGCTGACAAAGCTTCAAAACCAGCCATTAGCCGCTATTGACCCAGCTTTGACCCCGGCGGAACCGGAAAAAGGGACATCCGTCACGGACAAGCCAAAGGCAACCGAAGAGCCAAAGGTGGCCCCGGCACCTAAGGAAAAGCCCAATAGACCAAAGACGCCCAAGAAGCCTAAGGCAACCCTTACGGCTCAGCAAGTCCTGGAAGAGGACGAAGTTGCTGAAGATGAGGCGGATAAAGACTTGCTCACTCGCATAACCACAGGGCGGGAAAAATCAGAGAAAGTCTCAAAGGACAAAAAGCAGAAGTCCAATACGGTCCTACCGGACGTATCGGACAAGTCCAGTACAGTCCCACCGGACGTACTAGACAAAGCGGTTGACAAGGCTGGACAGAATGACGTTTAAAATAACATCCGATAGGATATCTGACACGGTAGACTTAGAATTAGCCTAACTAACCATAAAACGTCTCCGTGAGCTGCTACCGAAATTAACTAACCTAAATTTAACTAACCTAACTTTAAACGACCAGTAGCTTAGAAGTAGCTTAACTTGGTCCGATATCTGACATGGTGGCTTAGAAGTAGCTTAACCATATCTGACATGGCTTAACCATATCTAACCTTATCTGACATGTTAGCTTAGAAGTAGCTAACCAGTAAGATGAACTAACTAAGTAGGTAGGAGTCTAACACCGCGTGATTCGTCTCGTGACAGCGCCTCATTCAACGATGGAAGGACGCCGACGCACCGATCGCTCTGATGACTCCGACCGCAGTAACCGAACACATCCATATTCACGACCGGAATCCCGGTCGGGCGGATCTTCCACTCGGTCGTCTAACCGGCCTCCGAGTGTACAGGTACCTAACATTAGGGCCATCCTAACCGCCGAGCAGCTGGCAACTATGTCAGTTGGCCCCAGTTCACGGGCCGACACACCGCTACCGCGGTCCCAGCCTCTGCCACCACGAGCCATTCCGCCACAACTTCGGCCGCCAGGGACATTCTCTGACCACACTGGACTCCTGGTGAATGCGGCAGTGGCTGGCAGCCAGCCAAGCTCAACGTCAGACCAAACGGTCCGACGTTATTCTCATGGCCGTACCGGCCCACCCCAACCAATCCTGTATGGTGGCCTACCGACCACTTCGGCGAGTCAGCCGGTTTTTACAACTGCGGCAGTCGGGCCAACGGTCACGACTACGCCGGTCCATACTGGACCGCGGCCACAGTACACTCCGCCGCCATACTACAATCCACATTATGGATATCCACCGTATCCTGCGCCTGGACCTTCAAACCAGCCGCAGCCGGACATAAACCCATGGCGATACCCACCACCGTGGATGTATTCGCCAGGACCATATGGATATCCACCGCCTTATGGCGGATATGGAGCATACGGCCAACCGCCGTATAGCCCACCTTCAGCGGCACAACCTGACCCTACGGGCCAGACGCCGTCTGATTCATCCATTGAGCCTCCACGAGCAGGACCGGAAGCGTACAGAACTCCAGCGCCGCCGGAAACCCAGCCAAGCACATCACAGCTCAACGAGCCAAGTGATTACCCACTACGGGTATTTGTGAATGGACGGCTCACTATATATAACCGGCCAGAGGAGGTTCCACCAGAATTGGCGGCCGAACTTGGCTTAGCCGAACCGGAACCAGCGGCACGGCCACCACTGAACCCAGTGTGTGTAGTCAGGCGTGACCAGACCGTCCCACCGACGGAACCTGTGTCATCGCCAGAGCCAGAAGATGAAGGGGACGTCCAAAGGGATACAACTACCCCACCAATGAGGACCGAATCCCCTATCGAACCTTTGGCCGTCGGCCGGAATCCACTCTACCAACTTCAGGACAACCTGAAGGAGATGGAGGACGCCATCCAAGAACTGGAGACCATCATTCGAGGATTAGACAAAATGGGTCCTCACTACCGTGAGTTGATCCAGAAAATCATCCTCGACCAGGAAGACTGTAGGCGCCAAGCGCACGAACTCAGCGAAGAAATCGCAACCCGCCGGGCCCAACACGAAATCTTTCCGTTACATGACCAAACCGGTCAGGCCCTATCGGCGGCAACGCAAAGATTGAGATGGCGACTGGAACAACACAAGATGGCTCACCGGTTCAGGACCAGAGCCAAAGAAGCTACAGCGCCATCACCATCACCGTCCCCAGAGAACTCAACAGTCGTAGTTACCGCTACGACAGGGGAATCTTCCGCGCCACCAGCGGCCCAGCCTACGTCTACCGACGAGGCAATGTTGACAGCCACTGGTTTGGAATCGCGAGAACCAGCATCCTCTCCGTATGACCTGAGGGCCTACCCAGATATACCACCTTTGGAGCGTGAACTCCACGCCGCGGAACGCCTCGAAGAGGAAATCCGTAAGGTTATCAGCGGCCTGAAGGGGGTGGACATTGCCACTTTACGGGGAAAAGTCGCGTTGGACTTAGAATTTCAACGCGTCCTGGAATACATTACCAGGATTCGACGGGCCATGTTGCGGTTCATGGATAAGCCATTAGAGACGGCTAACGACGCACCAGCGTTGCGTGACTTCCGTAACCGGCAATATCAGCTTGGCCTGATCGATGAAGCACTTCGCCGCGTGTTGCCTAAACCCCGACCGGGGCAGCCAACACGCGTCGGACAAACCGGACTTCTCGTACCGACACGGTCCTCAACACGCCAACCGGCGGAAGAATTGAGGATGCGAGTCTCGAGAATTATGCGGATCTCGGCTGAAAGATTTGCAGCCGGACCGGCACTTAGTCGACCAGCCAGCGCGTCGGACACAGAAACCGACAGCGACATCGAGTGGTTCGACATGCCCGATCCAATCCCTGTACCGGGTCTAACAGCTCCGCCTGATCACTTGGTCGCGCCAGAACGACAAGTCCACCCGAGGCCAACTTCACTGGCGCCGCCACCAGCCATAGCGGAACGCCTGGAACTGATTATGCGGGGCAACGTTACGCAAGGCAGACCGGCTTATGCGGACGATTTCCCGGTACTGAACGAATCGGCCAATGCTAATCAACCGGCCCCTCGGACTTTACGTCAGCAATGGGACGAAGAACAGGCCGCATCGGACCAACGGTTGCGCGAGGCCGACACCGGGCCCATGCAAATGACGATCGTCCAAGCATTGAGGATTTGGCACCTCATTAGCGACGCTGGAGATGTTGAGCGCCGCATAACTAACCGGATCCAAGAACTCAGCCCATTTGACCCAGAAGCGGTCAGACTGACAGAACAGCAGCAGAGTCTAGCCCAACGGTTGGCTCTGCTCAAGGACCTCACTCCTAACCACACGAGGCCTACCGGTCCATCGTTAACGGTTATGGACCATACCACAAAATGGATCCGAGAATTTATCGAAGATTACTGGAAAGTCCCACGTCCGTCAACGACGGCACGCTCCAGTGACTTCGATCCAGTAAATGAATGGCGACCATCACCAGTGTCTGCGCCATCGCCTTTGGCCCTGACATATGTACCGGCCGCCTTAACATCAGTTGGACAGCCAATTCCAGCTGAGTTGGCCCAGGCCCTAACGGTGCGTGGTCCAACGACAACCCAACCTGTGGACACTGCTTGACCTGCTACAGCGGACAGCAGTAAAGAAGTCCCACTGCAGGACGTCGAAACGGACGTGAGCCTGCCCGATAATACCCTTGAGCTCTGTTCGGAGAAGCCAGCCGAAGCAGAGCCGACACCAGTCCAACCGGCTGGTGAACCGACAAGCCCAATGGCTGTTGATGCGCCAACGGTGTCATCACAGCCTATGCCGAAGCCGATCGAAGGCGACACATCAGATGGAACCCTTGCTGCACGGCCAACGCCCAGGAAATCGATAGGAGGACGGCCAGAACCAGCCAATCTTGCCACAAGAAGCGGTCCACGGTCGCCCAGATTTGAGAAGAAGAAGAGGACTCCCCCAGAAGCAGAGGAGCCTCCTTCGCAACGGTCACTCCCACCTTGGCGAGGGCCAAGAGAAAACTTGGAGCTGAACCGCCCAACCAGGCCCATTCTACCAGCGTAAAGCGGCCCGCCAACGGACTTAGATGTTTCTGGCCCTACCAGGCCAGGCCGGTCCATACTCAAGCCAAAGAAGGCGGAACCACCGACTTTGACGCTTCGCGGCCTACCGACCAAGAAGAAGAAGTCGCCGCCAAAGAATTTTCCTGGCAAGGGACACGTGCTTTCACCACCGGAAGCACCCAAGATTCCGTCAGGAACAACTCAGCCTCTGCGGGACGAACCTCCAACGAGGCATCGTATCCGATTGACTCAAACAGAGTCATGGGACGACCCGCACAACCGGGCTGTAAGCGAGATCATAGAGGTTGATTTTCGCTTAAATCTTACTGAGGAGGATATGCGCCAACGACTACGCGCTGGCGACGAAACATTAACGGACCGCGAGATAGACCGCATCAACCGAGGCTGTCAACTGATGGTCCAAGAACGCACAATCCTAATCAGGAAATTGATGGCCATGCGGAGCAAAAGCCAGGCCCTTCGCCAACGCAAGCTGCCTAGCGAAATTATTGAGCATGCCATCTACATCCGTGGCCCACACAGTAACCCAAGGGCATGGACAGTTGAACCGCGCCCGCGACCAGGCCAGCCAGCGGAAGACGAACTTCCACCAGAAGAGGCAGAAAGCGAGAACGAACATCCTCAACTGCCAGCAGCCTTCTGGGGCGTCTCATCCAGCGAGGAGTCAGAGATCGAGGAAGACTTGGACGAGAATGTCCAAAGGGCGTTATATGAGGCCAGCCAGGTCCGGCCGCCTTCAACGAAGGAATCGCCACGCCAAAGCCGATCTCCATCAAAGAGGACTTCTCCTGGACGCGCCACATCAACTCCGGCGCGAATGCCCAGCATGCCGGCCATCGAACTGGCGCCTGCCAGGTTCACACCGAGCCGGCCAGGCAAATCCCCGACCAAAGAGAGGATGGACACCACACCTCCTCAACAGCCAACCATGACCATTACTGTGGAACGAATCGCAGCACCTACGGTGTCTGCAGGTTCAGCACTTGAGCCAGTAACGGTCACGGTTAGAACCCCAGCACCAGTGGTCGCAGAGTCGGCCGAATGAAGGTGCAGATAAAACCGGCTGTCTCGGACCAACAAGTGGAAGCCGACGCGGCCTTGATGCCCATGAGTGCTCTCACTCATGGGCATGGATCAGTAAGTGTCTCGAGCAGAGACACTTACTGATCCATGCTGACCATAACGAACGACGGCAATATCCGTTCCTGCTCACAAAGAGACAGGAGGCCAAGGAGCAGAATCGTATGGAAGAATACGACATGATTACGGAAATGCTCCGGTCCTTGGTCCTACGGATGATAGATGATTATCGGCGCCGTCG